CATAGATAACTAAAACGAATAAAGAAGAGGATTAATGTGAGGCTGGAAAGGTATTTAAAACGTAGTTTATGTTTATCATTCCCCATACAAGATGTCACAGCTGGCAAGTCTCTGGGAGCTCCACAAATCCATGAGGTTGTCATTGAGAACCAAGCTGCACTCAGTGAAATTGGCATTCCAGTTGGAGACAATGGCAATCACTCCCAAGAACATCCTAGATCCAATCTGCGCACAAAAGAAAAAACATTAAAGTTCAGCAATTGAAGTTTTGAGAGCAACATCATGAACTGACATCTGCGGTCTTGTGAAACTCTGACTTTGGAAGTTGTCAATCAGGTGAATTCCAATGTTATATCCCCTGATAGAGAGAAAGAAACACACAGAAATTCTTATGAATGCTAAGAAGGGATGAAATTAAAGAGAAATGCTCAGGGCTTACATCACTTCCTCCATGTCTTTGAAGTCTGTGAGGAGCTGCCGGACCATAGGTGAGAGTGAAAAGTTCTGCATTCTTGATTCAGGATGGACAGAATCGAGAAAAACCACAAAGACACAGTGAGCGCTCCACGAATCTCTAGATCCAGGACGGGATTTAGCAGCTCTCCACATCCATGACTTCTCATTCGGCATATTCGATGGCATCATTTGTCATTCGTATTTCGTATTTTGACATATTCCCTGATTCTCTAAAGCCCTAAAAGCTTTCTTTCTCTCTCGCGATGGAGGAGGAGGCGTCGCGGCACAGCGTGGCGCTGGTGCTGGATTTTGGCTCCCAGTACACGCATCTCATCACACGCCGCATCCGGCAGCTCGGCGTCTGCTCCTTCTGCCTCTCCGCCGCCGAGGCATCGCTCGACGCCATCGCCAAGCTCGCGCCGTCGCTCATCCTCCTCTCCGGCGGCCCCCATTCCGTCTACGAGCCCGGCGCCCCCAGCGTCCCTCCCGGATTCTTCGATTACGTCCGCGATCGCGGCGTCCCAGTGGTGGGCATTTGCTATGGGCTGCAGCTCATCGTTGCGCAGATGGGCGGCAGTGTCGAGCCGGCCGCCAATCGCGAGTATGGGAGCATGGATGTTGTGCCAGTGGCGGGATCGGTGTTGTATGGCGACGACGATTCTACGCAGTCTGTGTGGATGAGCCATGGGGACGAAGTTGTGGAAATGCCGCGCGGATTTGTCGTTGTGGCGAGGAGTGTTCAAGGCAGCATTGCGGCGATCGAGAATCCAGACTTGGGAATCTATGCATTGCAATATCATCCAGAGGTACTCGTGATTCTTTCCTTGTGCAATGCCTTGCGTGATCTTCTTCGATCTTCACTGATTGTTTTTTGTTCTTTAGAAAAGTTTTGGTCTAGTGCAATGCTTTGTGTGTTCTACTTTGATGTGGTTGATTTTCTTTGAAAGGGTGTGTTGTTTGAATTCATTTGAAAGTTTGCATTTCATTTGTTCTCTCTTTCTTGCTCTTGGTTTTTTACAATAACTTTCAAGGATTTTCTTGCTGTGATTGATCTTCTTCTTCTTCTCTCTCTCTCTCTCTCTCTCTCTCTCTCTCTCTCTCCCCCCCC